TTAACTGGGATCACAACCTTGATGCCCACTGTTGATTAGTAGACTGTAAGAAAAGTATACTCTCCTGGCCCATTGGCTGAATTTTAACCTCTTATTTATAAAGCCTTTAGCACATGAGCCAGTTCAGGCACCTCTACAACCCCCAAAGCTGCTTACCCTCAACACTACAGTGCAAAGCAGCAGCACCACAGCACAATGCTACTTGTATAGGCTATTATCACTTTCGTAGTTAAAAGTACTGACCTACTACTTCACCTTCAAAATACAAAATGTTCTCTTTCTAATTAGTGACTTGAGAAAGAAATATTTTAGTCAGCCAAGTATAAAAATACTCTGTATACTTCTGTTCTTAGCTGCATGGGTTTTGTACAATGGCCTCTTGGCATTAGCTAGAATCTAGAGCCCAAATACTCAGAGGAAATCCCTCCCAACATAGTAATTAGTATCATTCATTTACTTGACCCACATTCAAAATGCACCAGACAGAACTCACTGTTGATGCTTTGGGGGATGGGGGCAGAGGTGGGAATTTCAGCAGGGCGAAAAAGAGAAGGAAAGTTTTTGGATTCTTTCTCAGCTCTACATTAAAGAAATCAAGAATAAGCTCGCACTGGGATACACTGTTATACAGAGGGCTAAGGAAGAGGTCTCCTGCCATCATGGATCAACCTGCAGCGCCTGGAAGCAGTGAGTGAGAAGCTGGGCTGCCATCAGCCAGGAGCTGGCCTCAGAACCTCAATCTAATCCAATATTAGTCCATGCTGGTGGAAAACACTGAATGGTGAGGAGGAAATAAAAGAAACGCAGCAAAGAACTATAAATAGCCTGGCAAATCAAACAGCAAAACAAAAAACCCAATACCAACATTATCTACACACAGGTAACAAGGTTAGAACTGTCACGTGCCCTGTGCTAAATACTTCTTAAATATATATATATAAAATAATGCCCTAATTCCTTCATAGCTTATCTCCCTAGAAGCAAAGAACTGACAGATCTAGGCGTGTTTTAACGCTATGGGCCAAAAGTGAAGTTTACTAGCACATAACCATGATGTCAAACAGCACAAAGTTGCAGTTGAAGACTCTAAGGATTGCTTAAGTCCTCTAATGGAAGTGGATATCAGGTAGCGCAAGGCCTCTGCCTGCCCTGTCCATACACACACGTCATCCCATGTCACTGACCACTGCAAAAGGCATACTGTTACACTACAGACTCAACTAATATGGCTGAGATCATTATAAACACTGGCATCCTCCCTCCCTGAACACCCCTTACTGCTCCCTACCAACATCCTTAGCACATACAGCTTCCTCTGCAACAACATTTCCCCTTGGATCTCAGTGGGCCTGCCCTTGGGTCTCCCCTGCCACCTGCTAGGGCATGGCCATCACTCACCCTGGGGGCAGCAGGTCCTTGTCACATATCAGCCCATGGGAGGGTGATGATGGGAGATACTTGGCTCCTATTGTCCCAAAGAGAAATCTGTTCAATTAAGGCTGCTAAAGAAAAATGGTCACAAACATACCAAAGTAAAGCAAAGGATTTCCTTATTATAAAGAAATAGTATTTAATAATAAAAGCCACAAACTACGTGTGTGCTAGCTCAAGAGATTCCCAAGAGTACTTAAAAATTATTTAAAGGATGAGACAGGTGAAGATTATAGAAGCATATTATTCAGCAGTTAAAATCAATGTCGCCAGACTGGTTCAGATGGATTAGTTCAGCGGGGTCTGACCCTGAAAATGACCAATTTAAAATGTTTCAGATGAAAACATGATTATCTCCTGTTAAGATTTGAATGGATAAGTCCAAATTAAGCAAATAAGAAGGCAAAGCATCAATAGGGATTACTGAAGGAGGTCTCAGAGAAGGAGGTTACTTGGGTATTGCAAAATTGTCTTTTTCAAGTACTGGGAAAAAATTCAATTTTTACTTCAATACAATGAAGTCAGCAGTATCTGCAATGGGAGGTGATCCATTTAGCTGGCAGTGGGCACAAGCTCAGGCAGCTTGGCCTTCTGTTTATGCACAGTGCAAACTGCAACCCAACTGAAAGCAATGCTGTGCTTGACAGTTTTGATGCCCCCTTTGCAGAAGCCTTAAGTATTCAGTTTCACTCAGAGGTGGCAAACCGTGGGTGCTCCGAAACCAAAATACCACTTACGGAACATTCTAAGCTGTGACCTTGCCCACTTACGTGGGTCTGCCATATCATAGCAAAACGGGCAGTCCCAGCTTTTTCCTGACTCCTGTGAGGGTGCTGAGACACTGGCACAGGTTGCCCAGTGATGATGTGAATGCCCCCTCTGACCTCTGAGACAACACAGCTGTCCTGCTTAGATTAATGCTATTTCAAGGAGCACCATTTAAAATAATGTAGGCTAACTGGAAGCATTCAAGGCCAGGCTGGATGAGGCGTTGAGCAACCTGGTCTAGAGGGAGGTGTCCCTGCTTATAGCGGGGAGGTTGGAACTACATGATCTTAAAGGTCCCTTCCAACCCAAACCATTCTATGACTCTTTGCTGACCTCATGTGGCTGAAATATGCAGCCATCCCTTGTGATGCCGTCAGTGACACCAACTAGTAGTGTTGGCTATTTAGGTGAAGCCTTGTACCATTGCTTCAAAAAAACATCCAAAAGCCATTGTGGGATACTGGAATGATGTGGAGGAACACCGAACAGGATTGTTGCGAAGGGAAAGAAGCTCTAAAGGCTCACTGATCCATTCCAAGAAGGGAATTCTTGCAAAATGGTCTACAATGGCATTTTCCTCTCATTTCTACAAAGGTAAATTAGTAAAAAGGCACTTGCATAGATGAATAGGACATAAAGTAAAAAGCACATCTGTACACCAACACTCACTATCAGCTCATAAAGTCAGGCATACATTTTTCTCTCACTATACCCTCTTAAAATGGCACAGGGGGGGCCAAACCAAAGCCCACTGTTGTCCACCAAATTCTTTCCATTTCTTTCATTGACCTTTGAGTTAGGCCTAAAAGTAGGTAGTAAATAGGACACCAGAGAAAGAAAGTCTAAAGAGAATGAAGAACAAGAAAGGAGCAGGTGTGGCAGCTGCTACAATAAAATACAAATCCAATATTTTACAAAATAGAATACTTGCAGGAAATATCTACTGTACATAGTAAAAAATTACTTGAAGGCTAAGTTAGCTAGTTTTTCCCTTATTTATTACGAGGGAAAAAAAAAAAAAAGAGCTACAGAATTGTTTTGTTGTTTCTTTTTTTAAATTGACTTATGTTAAACTGTAAAATAGCTATGCTAGTCTGCTGAACTAAGATTTTCACATTAAATTCATCCTCAATGAAGTCTGAGTGCCATTCTGTAGCAATAAGAGCAATCCCAAGTCATGCTCAAATCATGGGCTAGAAATGGCTGTGCCAATCCAAGGACACATTCCAAGAAGCTCAACCCAGGCAAAGGAATGAGAAAGGCAATAGAAGGACAAGTCTTAGGTGACAGTTACATGGGAGAAGAAGGAAACACAGCGAAGTAAAAGTGGACTGGACTAGGATCAGATGGGTTTTCCACTTAGTTTTTCCACTACACTTTGAGGCAGTCACTTCACCTCCCTAAGTGCCTGCCTCATTCCTTTTTTGCCTTGTCTGCTGCCTACATATCAACTCTTCAGGTCAGGGACTGCCTTGCTGTATGTTAATACACCATCTAACCACCTCCAGGCCTGAATTGTATACATCTTATTTGGCTTATTAAACAGTTGATCTAAGATCTGATCTCTGGAAAAGGACACATCAAGAGGAGGCCTGTGAGTATTTTAAGGCAATTCAAGCTTAGAGGGAGGGAATGAGATGCTCTGTGATATTTGTATGTCCAATTTCAGAGCTTGCCAAGATGACTTGAAGGGTTGGGGGAGGTTAATCCAATATAAGTCCTTGAACAAAATCTTGCAAAGCTAATAAATACTATTTACAACAGTAACAGGAAAAT